GTTACCCTATTGATAAAGATAAAGTCAGGTACCAACTCTTCTAATATCAATATATATATATATATATATATATATATATATATATATATATATTGAGTAAATTCAAGTCCATTACAAGGGGAAACAGGGGAGGGGGGCCTCGATCCCTAGAGGTTACCCTATTGATAAAGATCAAGGTTATGTACCAACTCTTCTAATAAAGGTTGGTAAAAAAAAAAAAAATTATATATATTTAGTTGTGTGTGAAATTTGACATTGTTAGTAATAAGGGTGTGAACGAGCCGAGCTCGAGCCGAGCTCGCCTCTTTTGGCTGGATCGATCGAGCTCGAGCTCGAGTCTATTTTGTCGAGCTCGAGCTCGTCGAGTTCTTCTTTTTTTGGCTCGAGCTCGAGCTCGTGTTAATTTTGTCGAGCTCGAGCCCAATTTTTTTTTTAATTATTTTTTAATTATTATTTTAATATTAAAAATTATTTTAAATAAATACAAAATAAAACCTAAACTGTGATTATATATTTTTTCAATATTTGTATTTATTTCTATAATATTTTATATTATTATACATTATTTAAATAAAAATAACATATAAAAAATACAAAAAAATAAAAAATAAAAAAATAAACAATAACAAAATAAAAAAATAATAATAAATCCGGCTAGCGAGCCGGCTCGCGAGCTGATGAACAACTAAAATCTGGCTCGAGCTCGAGCTCGAGCTCGAAAACCTCGAGTCCGAGTTTGAGCTTTTTACGAGCCGGCTCGTCGAGCTCACGAGTCGGCTCGGCTCGTTTACCACCTCTAGTTAGTAATGGGTGGTAGTATAAAAGACGGTAATAGCCCTCAACCCCCACACTCAACCCCCACACTGCAACGCCATTCATGGCAGCAAATTTGATTACACAGTTATCTCTCTCTGCAAATTTATCTCTCTCCCCCTTCATTATTAATTAATACTCCATCTTCTTTATGTATAAATAAGGGGTCGTCTCGTCTCACTCTCCGGGTTTTATTTATTTTATTTTATATTTATATATAATATTCCTCCTCTACAAGTTATATATATTAAATATTAATATACACATATATATATATATATATATATATATATACACACACATTGTTGAGGTACATATAGAGTATACATATATGACAATATGGAGATAGAGATGGCATCTTCTCATGAGGTTGGTGGGGGCGGCGGCGGTGGAGCAGATATTGAGAATGGGGGCGGCGGGGGATGGGGGGCGGAGGGTGGTGGAGGCGCGTGTTTGGCGTGGGAGGACGGCGGTGCTGCCGAATAACGGGAATGGGCATACTAGAAGGTTGGTAAATGGGCTGACCGGTTATGCTCTTCCGGGTCGGATCATGGCTGTTATGGGTCCTTCTGGCTCTGGCAAATCCACTTTCCTTGATTGTTTGGCAGGTCTCTCTCTCTCTCTCTCTCTCTCTCTCTCTCTCTCTCTCTCTCTCTCTCTCTCTCTCTCTCTCTCTCTCTCTCTGTGCATGGGGCCGGCGGTTGCCTGAAGGTTTGTGCATGCATAAATCTTCAGGCCAAAGGTTTTATTTAATTTTTCCCAAAAGAATTCCGATTTCAGAGAGTTAGCATTATTTTAAAACTTAATCAAAGAATTTTTAATTAACAAAAATTATCAAATAATTAATTAATAGCTTAAATTAGGGGTCTTTACAAATAAGCCTATCAATGGATACTTATTTATAAAGAGATCAAGACAAAAAACTCTTTTACCAATAAGTCCACACATGGTCAAGATTTTTTTATTTTTTTTTTCTTCCGGATTTTTTCGCCGGTCTCCGGCGTTGACTTGTTCGATTTTTTTTTTTCTTCTTTTCTTTCTTTCTGTAACCTTTTTTTTCGTTTAAACAGCAATATTGCTGTGATTGACAGTAATATTAACTATATTACTGTTAAACACCAGTAAATTAAACTTAACTATTGTTTAACACAATAAT